AACTTCAAGTTAACAATATATAATAGCATGCAACTACTTCCACTTCTATTGAGTTTATGATTTTCAATAACTCAAAGTTTTCATATTTATAAAGCAATTAAAAAAAAATTAATATTGAGTGAATATATTTCATATTAATTTGAATAGGCAATTACTATAGAATTATTATAGATTTTTAGATATAATATCTTAATGTTGTATTAAATGCATGCCCAAGTTTTATATTTTCAATAATAACCATGCCTCATATCCATCTCGTATTGGGTTTATATCCTCGTGCCCCCGTTGTTACAGCATACTGTATGCATAGTACAAGCAAAGAAATATAGCACATAAATGAAGTAAGTCTAAAAAATAATATATTTTAATGCTATATCTCCATTGTAATACCTATGCAAAATAATTGAAACACTCTTGATTTAAGGGTTGAGTAGTTCGACCTTGGATTTTTACATGTTAATCCAGATTCCTTTAAATCTGAGCAAATTGCTTTGGAGAACTAGTTCAGTCTGATTGGTTCTACTGCCTAATTTGGTAAGATTTCCAAAACCATAACTCAAGCATAATGCCTACTAGATTGCAATGTGCCACATGATTAACATTAGCCAATTTTTTAACATAAAAGATAGGTTTGCAAACAAACCAAGTCGAGCTAAGTTGGAGGTTGTTTGAGCTAGAGTTTATTTAGTAAAAGTATATTCAACCTCAGCTCAAGTACAATTAAAGATTTTATCATAGTGTTTAAGCTAAGTTCATTTTAATTCATGTTTGTTTAAATATGGTATGAGCTCACCTCAAGTTCGCTTAAATTTGCGATCAACAAACTTTAAAATAGCAACATTTTGAAACATGAATGAGCTTTATCAAACCAGGTCAATTGAGCCTTAAAAAATCAATCATGTTAAGTTAAAAAATTAAATTTAACAATGCTTTAAATCTTTTAAAATTTTATTATTATTAAAAAAAGTAATTTTAAACAACACCCAAAGGACCGGATGAGTTACAAACACAATAATTTAACTTAGTCACTCCACAATTTATAACCAATACTAATTTAAATCATCCTAAGACTGTGTGATGGAATTCAAACAAATATGAATGAGCGTTGATCAAGCTTCTTCATAAGATTTAAACAATATTATTTATTACCCAAAATGAATCAAACAATAAGCTCCTCAAGCTTGTTTATTTGACAACTTAGAATTTATTAAAATTTTCAAGCTTATTTGATTAACTAATCAAGCGAACATGAATGAGCACTCATTGGGTTGAGCTAAGAGTTGATTGCCAAAAGCTCACTTTATTTGCAGCCCTGATAGAAGATCATTTACCCAAAAGACCGCATGAGTTACAAACACAATAATTTAACTTAGGGCCCTTTCTGGGCAGCTTATTTGAGTGTGGCGGCATTTTGAGTGCGGCGGCATTTTGAAAAAGCCGTCGTACTATTTGGAAAATGCATTTGACGTGCGTTTTGGCGCTGGAGCAAAACACTGCATTCTATTTCCTTATGGGAGGCGAGGCGGGGGCATATGTGCGTTCGACATTCACGACTGGCGTTTAGGCAAAGAATTCCTCCAGTGCCCTGAGTGATCTCTCTCGCGATCTCCCTCGCCCTCTCCCTCCCCGATCTCCTCCCTCGCGAAGAACATCGATTGGCCGATCTCCTCCCTCGCGAAGAACATTGATTCGCTGATTTCCTCCCTCGCGAAGAATATCGATTCGATTGTTCTGAGTTGGTATGTTTTTTGGATCTGATATTGATTTCCCGGAATATCTATCGCGCGAAGGGCACAGCGCCCGGATGGTGAGAGTGGAGAAATAGCTTCTGCATACTATCTCAATTCCCAGTTCTCTGAAGAATAGCCCGCGAAATTGGGAAGACCTTTTTTGGAGGATTTCATCCCGCTTTGAGAAGTTTATTTCATTTTTCAACATGACGGAGGTAATTTCTATCATTTTTCATACCTTTCCATGTTATATTTGCTTCTTATGTAGAATTTGGACTTTTTTTTAAGCTTCCATCGATTACAGGTACCCTTTTTGCATAGATTTAGAGACTCTAATAAATTAATATAATTGGGCTTTATGCACAACCCTAGCACATTTTCAAAATTTCACTAGCATCCATTTGGAATCATTTTTATTTTCTTTTATTTCTAGTTTTTATTTTTATTTAATTTTGTTTATGTTTTGATTATAAATAAAACATGTTTGATAGGTAGAAATAAATAAAATTATTTTTAAAAACACTTAGAATTACTAAAAGCTATTTTGAGTGTTTTTTAAAATATATTAATTTCACTTTGCCCCAAACAGGGGCAGAGTGGTCATTTATCCAACAATAACTATCAATAAGTTATTCTGAATAAACTCCCCAAAACAGCAAGCCAGCCAAATTATCAGAATAATCTGTTTATCGACAAATTATAAATAATCAACAGCTGCTCAAACAGACCCTTAGTCCCTCCATAACTTATAACCAGTACTAATTTAAATCATCCTAATATTGTGTGATGGAATTCAAACAAACATGAATGAGCCTTAATCAAGCTTGTTTATTTAAACAATATTATTTATTACCAAAAATGAATCCAACAATAAGCTGCTCGAGCTTGTTTATTTAAAAACTGAGAACTTATTAAAATTTTCAAGCTTATTTGATTAAATAATCAAGCGAACATGAATGAGCTCTAATTGGGTTGAGCTAAGAGTTGATTGTCAAAATCTCACTTTATTTGCACCCCTAATAGAAGATCATTTACCCTAGCACTTACAAACTTCTTACACTACCTAATAATGTAATTTCGCATTATCATTGTTCCTACAACACTAGCCCCACCAATGTACCAACATTGTTGAACAAATACTTATTGACGTTTACACCAATGATCTCTTTGTTTGACAACACTTCATAATTTAGTGGTGTGCTCATATTCCCCAAGGATGCTCCATAGCCAGGCTGTTCATTTGTCACCTTTATTCATGTGGATGACAGCCTCCACCTTTAATCTCAAGGAGTTTTTCACACTTATAAAAGATGATGCAGGTTCTATTCAATAAATATTGATATTTAACATGGCTCCAAAATCAGACTCCACAAGTCATTATATTTACACTTCATGAGGTAGAATTTGATAGGAATTTAAGGAAAAAAAATTTTTTCAAACTCTCATGCCTATATATAGTATAGCACCTCATGTAAACATATGAGACCAATGAATGAATTAAAAACTTCTTAACTCTCCCATCTCTACCTTTCCTCTTTTTAAGTCAACGAAGGCCCCATTTGGGGTGGCAAAAGAGCTACGGCGCGGCGCCTCGCAGCTTGTTTACGGTGTTTGGTGAGGCGAGTTAGTCGCGGTGGCCTGCAAATCTCGTTAAACGCGGGCTGCAGGATCGACCCCGCGGCCCTGTTTTGCTCCTTCGGCATTTTACCCATGTGTCCTCCTTTTCGTGATTCCGCCTTCTTCGTCGTTCGACTACGATCCTAGTTTGTCTGCGATCCTGGTTCATCGTTCGCCTTCTTCTTCGTCGTTTCAGCACCGAAAGCTTTGAAGCCGGTCGTATCCAAAGAAACTCTGTGATTGCTCGATCAAGTAGAAAATAGAGAAATGAAACAGTTGAAATTGAGTAGCCCATGACTGCTCTGTAGAAGATAGAGAAATGAAACAGTTCGATCCAACTGAGTGGAGTAGCCTATAATTGCTCTGTAAGAAATAATCTCTAAAAATAAATATGTTTCATTTCTTTGCTAATTCTGCTTTTTAAAAAATTGAAAGATAAATTTTTGATGATTTCTACCATAAAATTATTTTTTTTTCATTGTTTTAGAGGGGCTAAATTGTGTTCAAGGTTTATTTTATCAATAGTGATGATGTTGTTGAACAAAAATTCAATGATAAAAGTGACAGAATGGTCCCTGATTTTTTGCAATGATATTTTAAACTTAGAGTTTATGAAAGTATCATTTTAATCCCCAAATATTTTTAGGGGAATTTACTTACAATAAAATTTAAGTAAATTTTTCTTTCATAGTAATTGATGCAACAATTTAAATTTTTCTGGGTTCTTATCATTAATGCAAATTGAAGTTGATTTTACTTCATTGTGATTGTCTCATTTTAATTCATCATTATTTTGAATTTCTGCTTCTGAATTATTAAATAAATGGGTGTCACAGGTTTGTTACATACAAATTAACTGAACAGGGGCAGAATGGTCAATTTTCCAGAAACAGCTGCCCCACAACTATTTTCACACAATTGCAACAAACAGGTAGCTAGTTTTCTCGCAGCAGGTTCCTAGGCAGCGCAGTTGCAACTGAAAAGCTGAGAAAATGCAGCTGCGCCAAATAGAACCTAAGAGGTCCTACTTTCTACTTCCTCTCCCACCCTCCTTCCTGATCTTCCTATCCATCATATTTCTCATCAATCTAAAACCCTCAATCTCTCATTCCACCCTAGCAGGTTTTTGACAAATCCTCTCCACATCCACAAATCATAGTCATCAACCACCCCAACCCTCCTTCGAGCAGTCTCTCGCGAATTATAACGTAAATCCAAGTTATTTTGGATCTGCTCCATGACTACACATAAAGGTCTTACAACAATTTATATCAATTTAAAAAATTGGTCAAAAGCCACATGTTTGAATATTAGCATGGCACAAAACTAATAGCAATTAATTTAGCTTCAATTACAAACAATCATTTATCATCAAAAATTAAAATTTCTTCCGGGATTATTTTTATAGGAAATGAAGCGAACAAATAAAATTGCCTTTAACAGTATATGAAAATAAGAAACATATTCTCAGGAAAACCAAACCCATTTTAGCTTTATTCAACTAGATATTTACAGTAGAATTTAAACAACTATGTCTAAATCCATAATTAAAAATAAAGGCTGCAAAAAAGGCAAAAGATGTTGCTTATTCTTTTCAATATATAAGTTTCTATAAAGCCCCAATCATTATTTATGAGAGAGCATCTAAAATACCTGGTGATCCTTCATAGGATTCCAATCATGCTCCATAAAGATCAAAGTATCAGCAGAAGTCAAGTTCAAACCAAGCCCGCCAACTATAGGTTGATGCATCAGTAAATACCCAAATAATAAAACTGCAATGATAAAAGTAAATTTACAAAACTTACCATGCGTTGTCATTAGCAACACACTTATAGTTGGATCAGAATTGAATGTTTTTACAATCTCAAAACGTTTCTCAGGCTCAACAGATCCATCAAGCCTTAAATATGTAACACTGTTTCAATTGAAAATTAACATGATCAGACTAATAAAAATGCGCTAGAAAAAAAAACAAAAATGTATATCAACACCATCATTAGCCTTTTCCTAACTATTTGAGCCTTAACAGCTAAAATATATATATGATTATTCAAAATAAAATAATGGGATTCTGAAATTTATACGTAGATACTTAATATAAGATGAGCATCATAAGTTGCAGTAAGGTATTCTGCCAACAAGCTCCTAAAAGTTCTCACCAAGTAGTAATACAACTGACATTACTTGAAACCCTAATTAAGAAGCCCACCTGAAGTCATGGATGATGAAATTCAAAAGTCAAGAAATACAAAAAATAGTGAAGACAAAACGAAGGAAGATCCAACATGTTTCCAACTTCATCACCACAATAGCTCTCTAACAATTTCAGAGTATTCCATTATTTGGATAAAGACTGAAGTCCATAAATACAGTCCTAGAAAACAAAAGTAAGCATATTGAGTAATAGGTGCATAAAGCTAGATGACTTTAGACGAGTTTGAGCCATTTGCCTTCCAAATTTACACTTAAATGTCGCTTTTATACTAGTTTTATCTTTATTTAGTAATTTTATTTCACATAGCCAAGATGGGATTGCCCAACCATCAATTCCCTCAACTGGCAATTTATTGTCATGTGGAAGGAGAGAACTTTCTCAAGAATTTTAGAAGCCTAGTCATACTCTTGAAATTATATAGTCCAAGAGCGTGGCAAATGCTTAGAGAATAAGCATTTCGATATAAATATTTAATAATAAAGGTGTGCAAAAATGTAAGTTACGATATAATAATAATAAAGGTGTGCAAATATGTAAGTTACAATATATTAATAATAAAGGTGTGAAAAAATGCAAGTTACAATATAATCAATTCAGGTAATATATAAAGTCATTAGAAATGACAATGAAACATAAGATCAAAAAAATAACTAAGTAATAATCTACAATTTTAGTAGTGTGAAATAACATTAACAGATAATTTTACCGGAAGATAAGTGATACCAAGATGTCAAAAGTATAAGTAACTTGGATCTATTATACAAAAGAAAATGAATATAGATGACTTCAAAGTGGGAGATTGAAAATGAAGAAATACTACAAAGCATACTATGCAATAGAAGAATGTCAAGAAGACTTAAAAGGTGTTTAAAAATGTTTGAAATTACACAATAATGATGCCAATTATGTACAAGTTATACATGGTTGAAATTAGAATGCGAAGATAGATCTGTGGGGCAAAATGTAAGAAGGATAAACTAAGAAACATCAGATTAAATGCAAGGTAGAAATCGCGTCCATGAAAGCTATGGACATAAAAATCTACTCAGAAGGTTTTGGCATGTACAAAAATCTATAGAAGATGCAACGATAATACATATAAACAAATTTAAAATCTAATACTATAAGAAATAAGGGAGAAATCAAGTCAGAAGTTTATACCGAATTATTTACACCACAAAAGGGGTTTAAACGCTTGATGCATAATTCAACAGGACCGAAATGAAAATTAAATTCATAACACTGAACATAAATAGTTGGGATAAGACCAATTATGGCAACGATAATGTCATTTACGTGCATAGAAGCAAGAATAATAGATTCAAAATAACAAGAAAATATGCTTAGAAAATTCAATCAAACATATGTATCAGAGTTAAATATACTATCAATATGATCTTAAAGAAGGATGAAGATATATTTTGAGGAATTATGAAGTTAGATTTTTAAAAAATAAACTTTTAGGACAGTCAGCATACACAAAATAATGAAGCATATTTACAAATTTATCAAAAATTAAATTTGAGATGGTGATGCTTAAAGATGAAGCAATATTTAATAGTAAAGCTATGAAGCATATAGTCTAAGAGCATGTCAAATGCTTAAAGATGAAGCAATATTTAATAATAAAGCTATGAAAAAATGTAAGTTATAGTAGAATCAATTGCTGTCATATACTGGAGTTAGTAGAGATGGTGATGGAAAGCTTATAAAAAAAACTATGTAATGATCTACAATTATAGTGAGTGTGACAAAGTTAATGACAAATAAACTACAAGATAAGTTGATACATATACATAAAAAGTGTCAAGTACCACTGATTTATTTTATAAAAGAATATGAATATCGATGAAGCAACAACTTCTCGATAGCACATGAATATTATGTAATAGAAGAATGTCAGGGGGACTAAAAAGGTGGACATTTTACTAGTACAGTTAGCCAACTATGTTGCATGGAACTGACTGTTGCACAATAAAGATGTCAATTATGGACAAGTCACACATAGTTGAAACTAGAATACTAAAATAGATTTGTGGCAAAAGAAAGAAGGATAACTAATAATGACCAAATTAAATAGAAGGTAGGAATGGTATCCATGAAAACTATGACAGCAAAAATCTATTGAGGAAGTTAGGGCGCGTAGAAAAAAAAAGAAGATAAAACAATAGTATGCACACACAAACTTAATATCAAATATTATAAATAATAAGGGATAAATCAAGTTAGAAAACATACAATAAGATTTATTAAACAAAAATACTTAATGCATGATTCGAAAAGGTAGATTTGAAAATCAAAAATCATAAAGCTAAACTTAAATGGTTGGGATAAGCTTAATTATGGTAATGATAGTACCATTTATATGCTTCGAAACTAGAAATATAGATTTAAAATAACTAGATGAAAGATAAGATATTTAGAGAAATTATGCAATAAGATTTTTAAAAAAGTCTTTTTTTAGAACAGTAAAAATGAATAAAATAATGAAACATAGTTACAAATGTATAGAAAAAGTTAAGTTGAGTTAGCACCAAAGAAATGCAAAGAACTCGGAACATTAGGTCCAAATGAAATACCTCTTCAAACTTAAAGAGTCGTGAGAAAAGATGGAAGAGTTTAATCTACAAATCTTTTCAATAGAATCCTAACGTCATGCTCTCAGAATCCTATAGTCTACGAACATGTCAAATGCTTAGAGATGAATAAATGCTTAATAGCAATATTTAATGATAAAGATGTGAATAAATGCAACTTAAAGTAGAATCAATTCATGTCATATGATGAAGTTATTAGAGATGGTAATGAAAAATAAGCTTAAGAAAAACACATTACTTGGAGCAAGAAATATATAATATTTTATTAAACTCTTAAAATTTGATAATTCAAAAGGTAAATAATATCAGTACACTTCTTAGTTTACTTAAATAGATAATTCCAATTTGACAAAGAAACTTACTTCTCATTGATCACAAAGCTTTTAAAAAAATAAATAAAACTACAGTACTGTATTTTTACCAAAGGTTAATTAGATAACTATTTAATAACTAAGCTAATGCTTGCTCCTTTATCCCAATATACATAGGATAGATGAGGAAATTATTTATTGATTTATTAAATTTTACTCTTTGGACTTTTAGCTTCCTTATGCGATGCATTCCCCAGTCAATGTTTTATGATAAAATAATAAAAAATTTTGGCATTTTAACACAGCACACAATTCTTATGTATTTACATATCTCTACCAAAACTTTCATATTTGCACATAGCACTCAAATCTTTAATATGACATCAAAAATAACACTAAGTGAAATACATATTTTTATGCATAGGTTTAAAACACCAAAATGCTATTTAAGTACAAAAGTATAGGTGCGAGATATGTAAATAGATAAGAATATGTGTTGCGTATGTAAATTTCCCTTAAAAACAAATTCAAGCGGCATCACACACTCATAAACATTTAGGTTTTGTTCAAATATAAGAACATGGTTTGTATTTATAAAGTGTATAAAATTTTTTTCTTAGTTTCATGATTATGATAATTAGTTAGCTGTTGATTATGTCTAAAATAAACTCCTCAGAAAGGGCAAGTAATGAATGTACTCCTTCACACATTTAATTATAGAATAATACTATCAATTTGTTTGAAAAAGAAATGTATTTTAGAAATGATAAGACGGGTTGACATAACAATTTTTATGAAATAGGGTTTAGGGTTTGTTAAATTTTATTCTTTGGACTTTTAGCTTCCTTATGCGAAGCATTCCCCAGTCAATGTTTTATGATAAAATAATAAAAAAATGGGCATTTACACACATAGCACACAATTCTTATGTATTTATATATCTCTACCAAAACATTCATATTTACACACATAGCACTCAAATCTTTAATATCACATCAAAAATAGCACTAAGTGAAATACATATTTTTATGCATAAGTTTAAAACACCAAAATGCTATGTAAGCATGAATGTATAGGTGCGAAATATGTAAATAGATAAGAATTATTTGCTGTGTATGTAAATTTCCCTTAAAAAATAAAATTCAAGTGGCATTACACACTCATAATCATTTAGGTTTTGTTCAAATATAAGAGCATGGTTTGTATTTATAAAGTGTATAAAGTTTTTTCTTAACTTCATGATTATGATTGTTGATTATGTCTAAAATAAACTCCTCAGAAAGAGCAAGTAACGAATGTACTCCTTCACACATTTAATTATAGAATAATACTATCAATTTGTTTGAAAAAAAAAAATGTATTTTAGAAATGATAAGACTGGTTGACATAACAATTTTTTTATGTAATAGCACTACTTTCTTTGGGTTACAACAGTTATTTACATGTAAGTATTTAAAGGTTAGTTGTGTAGTTTCTCTTAACGCTTTGTTCAGACAAGATAATTCGAGTTTAATCAGTTCCAGCACGTATCATTATATAGCTATAATTCCAACTGCACAAAGTAGAGAACTACTAATCTTATAGCATCTGAAGAAAATACTATAAAAGAAACCTCTATCCTGACTTTGCATTGTTAGGAACTAAGCGATTTCGTAGGATGCAGAACCTATCAAAACGTCTAGTCTTTAGCGTTAGAAAAAGAGGTGAGAAAATTCTATTCCGCTTAACTTCTAAAAAAGTGAGGAAAGTTAATAAAGACTAGCATCAAGAAATCATGAACTTAGTTCTGGCA